CTTCAAACTAAAAATGGTCAGAAACTACTCATTATTTTCAAAGCACATGCTCGGAAAGGTAGGTGGGTAGTGAAACACGATCTTCGTGCAGATTTTCCAGTCAAAGTGACACGGTTTTTTGGCTATTTCTCCAATCTCCTCCACTCAATTGCGCTCATTCTGGTATCGTCTGCAAGATATTTTCAACCCGTTCAAGTACATGCTCGAATTCGTGCTCCAGAGTTAAAATTGATGACGTCACAGGGCGTAGAAAGGGTGTGGGTCCCCATGGGCGCATACGGGCGCACTGGACGTTAATGGGTTAAGCCCCCCTCTATTAAAGCCCCCTGCCCCTCTCCCTAAAAAAAAAAAAACAAAAATTTAAAATAACACTCCATGTCAGTAAGTACATTAAACAAAATGAGAACAATTTTTGAATAAATATGGTACAACATATATTAACCTCTATATTAAGCTGCCCTCCCCTCTAAGAAGCCACTGCCACTCCCACCCCCAAAGTACCTGAAATAAATAAGCCCCCACCTCCCCGGGAGCTTATTAGAGGATTTACAGTATCTCAGGAATGGCAAGAACATAATCCTTATATTTTCAACTGAATAGTCGCAATGTTTACAACCACTATCTAAGAATAATTTATCACAGCCAAACTTCACCTTGCAAAGTCAGCACTTATGTCTCCCATAAGCCTCATTATCTCGGGTGCAACACATGGAACTGACGACTTCTTGGAGTGAACAGATGTCTTCTGAGCCAGGTTCATGTGGTTGAAGTACAGATAGCGATATTGTTGGTCTGAGCTACACATGGTCAAGAAAACAATACAAAAGCTAATTAAAACAAAAAAGTGGTGCTGGAGAAGAGTGGTGAAAAAGTTAACAGAGTGAATGTTAATTTCCAAATAATTTTGGAGATAGTAGATAAGTACCTTTGCTGTTTCTTGGCACTTTGCTCACCAATAATATTGGCCAGCGTTGTTAGTTGAGGACCAATGAAGTTGTCAATCTTCTTAAAAAAGTCTAAAGTTGGGTATGGACCTAAAAGGCCAAACTAACACATTTTAATTAACATCCTAATTGTTGAGAAAGTAGTCCATTTAATAATCTGATGTATAAGATATTTAAAATTAGAAATCTTCAAATTGGCATCATTGTATCACATTTGACATACCAGAAACCATCAGGCATATTGTTGCTTCAAGTGCCTGTTCGGGAAAGAAAATAATACAAAACAAAACAAATAAGTAAGAAAAAATTGGTAAATATACTAATTTGAGAGACCTGGTGTCTCTGGTTAATGGCTTGTGACTCGCCTCCCAGTTTAAAAGGCCAAACTTTGGTAAACAAATGTGCAATCAATTGAAATAAATGAGCACCTATGAATTTTTTCAAGAAAACAACTTGGTTTTAAAATAACTTTTAGTACAAATTTCCATCAGGAGAGTTTTATTATTTTTCTTAGGTGATATCATTTTACTAGTTTATTCTCCCCTCCATTATTATTAATAGTAATAATTTTAACATTCAACCATACTCTGTACCTTATACACCACTAATATTAATTCTTCTTGCTCAGAATCTGTGTTAACAAACATCTTTGGTGGAGGTCTTGGTGTTGGAACATCACCCAATTCAGTGGGACCTGTTATGAACCTGGAAACCAAGATGCAAAGAGTGTTACATCATAATTCAGAATTTACTGTCCAAGGCTAAGAATTCAGACTAAATGCAAACAGATTTTGGATTTCAAAGTACTGATTCTATTTCTGGATAAATCCTATCAACCAAGAGTGAACATGTTGTATTTTTAATTATAATTCTCTCATTATGCAGGCAGTCTCTGCAAGAGGCTCTTCTTGCACAGTCATCAATAGGGAAGTCACTGCCCTTCCCCCAAAACTTCCTGTTTGCTGCTTTTTAAAATCATGCCATGAGCCACTAATGGGGATGAATCATTTGAATATATTAGAGTAAAGTCAGCATCTCATGTCTTTGTACCTTCCATGATGAGACTTGGGTGGAACAACAACATAGCCTTGAGATCTTGGATTTTCCATACTCTAGAGGGAGAAAAACCACACTTTGAGATCAATAAAATGTGATCAGTTACACACACACACATAGATTATATATATATATACATATATATATGTATATATATATA